GGAAGGAGAGGAACCCAGTGAGGAAGAATTGGATAATTCTTCAAGTGATTCCAGCAGTGCAACGTCAGTCTGAGAAAGGGGTCGCAGCACCCAAAACTGCAAAAGTGAAGAAGAAGCCCAAGAGATAAACATTTTCTTTTCTGGAATACAATATTACTTGACTTAAGCATAATTAAGCTATAATCGATAGAAGTTTGATCTCTGCTTTTATAATTCTATGTTTATCATAATATCAATATTATCGCAAGAGTGTTGTATGCATTTGTCAGCTTATTACAAATAATCTTATCATAAGTTAGTGATAGGCTTTTCCCCTGTACCCTTACCTTTAGAATGTAGGATATAGTTTATAAAATCAATAAAATATTATAAAAAAACAGGCCACCACCCCTGCCCCTCCTGCTACTATATCTGCAGAAGAGGTGGTGTGTGAGTTGGCACAGGGCATGGGTGGGTGTCTGGCCGCCGTAGATGGCAGTGAGGGGGGGGGATCCCAGACATCCATGTTCTTGTCCTTTGTCAGCCTCTGGTGCCCTGTGTGCTCTATGTGCAGAGTGCCACTGTGGGGTGCCAGCGGGGCTCATGGGTGATGCCCCCTCCCCGCTGACAGGTGCCTGGGTCTTGTGACGAAAGCTCATCTCTTTAAGGGGGGTGTCCAGCAAAGGAGGAGTGTCACTCCACTGGTTTGCCTCTCTCCGCACCCTGCCAGTGATAGACACTTGGCTCTGCCTCCTTGATTTATGGCTCCTATTGGTCCTGCCTGCCCTGTCTATCAAGCCGCTCCCACCTCCCAACAGTGGAACAGAACACCAAGGTGGAATCACCACAGATGCTGCCGCAGCAGCAAACATCAACAATGTTGGGGCATCTTTTTCCCCATTCAGCTGCCATGTAACTATCCCCTTAGGGAGGTGACTGGCAGCACCAAAGCTTCGTGGCAGCCAGCCTCCACAGCACTGGCATGGCTAGGATTGCACTGCCTGTCACCTGAGCCATGTGAGATAGGTTAGGCTGAGACAGAGTGACCCAGCAAGCTTCCATGGCAGAATGGGGACTTGACCCTGGGTCACATAGGTCTTGGTCTGACAGAAGCACCGTAGCACACTGGCTCTCATTCAGTTCACTAGAAGCAGCCTCAAAAAACATTCACAGAAATTTACTAATTCACCTGCTACGTGTTACTCTGGAATGATCGACAGAAGAACCACCACCCATTCCTTTCGTAGTGTGCAGAAACTACTCTGCTGGGTTGCCTAGAGGCAATTCAGTCAATATAGGTGACCAGGAAAAGTGATGTTACAAGCCCATGCAGCGTATTAATCCTTCAGCCATTCAACAAGACAAAACACTAACAAAGGGAATCCTCAGGTCATTGAAAAAGTATTTTTGCTCTGTGCAACCTTCACTACATATAAAGACCAGACCTTGAAGGAGTTTTTTTAAAAAAATAATCCACTTTCTCAAAGCTGCTTTCCCTTATAAATTCAGCTGTGAACTGACCTATATTTTTGCGGCTGTCATCACCACCATAATGTTTATAACAATTATGGTTGGGAGACCCATATAATATGATTGCCTTTTACTGCAGTACGCTCCTAATGAGCTCCTCTGAACTTAACTTAGCACATTAAGCACAAGCATGCAGGCAATATAATATTCATATTTATGGTCCAAACTCATTTTCTAGCACAACCTTGGGGGACAGAATTAAGATGTGGACAAACAGACACTGATTTACCCATAATTTATACATTGGTGAGAACATAAGACCATTCAGAAATGCACTTGCACCCAAATCATTTCTACTAACTGAAAAATAGATACAAGCTTCAAACAAGACATTAAAGATCATAATCTCAGAAAGCACAATCCATAAAATGCTCCACAGTAATAAGGGAGAGGCATCTGTTAAATGTCCTGAAGAATCTAAGTACATCCAAGAATGTAAATGCAAAAATCCTAAAGAGATGATTAACTGATTTAATTTACTCCAAGAGAGACTGAAAGGCTCTTCTCTTTTAATTTATAAAGTCACCAAGAGGTTATAAGAAAACATACAACGAAATTAACAGAAATCCTTTAATACAAGCAATTTTGTTTTCAAGTTACTCTTATTATGCAAGTTCTTGCACACCAGAAACACAATCACACTTATTTATACAACATGATCCCACTACTCTGTATTTCAAAACAAATCAAGATAGATTGACCTAAATGAAAGTAAGCCTTTAATACCACACTAAGTGAAGAGTGCTGGATAAGGGAGTTTTAGTGAGAAAGAATTTTCAGGTTTGCTAGAATCCTGTGGAAGAGCAAGAAACTTCAGAACTCCAAAATATCATGTTCTAGTTAGCAATTTTACTAGTATGGATAATAAATCTGTTGTAAGATGTCTGTTTCAGAAGGAGCTAGTTATTTTCACCAATTATAGTTTTAATAGTCAGTTTAATTGAAGAGATCAGAGTTTTTGAGCTCATAAATTGTAGGTGGATCCAGTAAATCCATTTGTGATCCTTAAAATTAGCACCAAGAATATTCCCAAGATCTTAGGTAAACAGCTTTGCATGTAAAAAATCCTAGTTCAGCAAAACACAGGTTGACTTGCAAAACAGAATTCATTAAATTACATTAGATAATTAACCATTATTTACTTTTTAAATGAAACTAATATCTGTTGACAACTGAGACTGTACAAAGTCTGAAGAGTTTTCTACTGGCTAGATGTCCTTCCGCATAGATTCAGTCCAAAATAGTCTACTACTCCATTGTGGTCATACTGCCAAAGCTCTCAACTTCTTGAACATTAATTTGCAGTTTGGACCAAGTGTTGTTTAGTATGGATTATGCTGCCTCATATTACCATGTGTTCTGAAACCTGAATGGAATTAGTGGTCTCTTATGACTAGAATCTACAAATTCTGTTCAGAATTCACACTCTTCATTGTGGTTTGCTCCAATAAACTTCCATCAGATTTCAAGGAACTCGGCAAAGCAAAACCTATGGAGGAATCAGACAATGCTCCCCTAGCACCAAGGAGAACACTCCCACATTTCCCCAGTGAGTATTGTGGCGGGAGTAGAAGGGAGGAAAATTTAAAGTGCCCTGGGTTTGTAGTTCCAAGAGTGAGCATCATAAAAAGAGCACACACCCAGGAGTTTAAGGTTCCTTGGTGTTTGCCAAGCACAGACAATGGGGAAAACATATCTGAGGGTGCTGCAGGGGCATTCCAGATCAGGGATCAGCATAACAGATTTATTGGCTCTTTAAGATTCTCCAATGTGAAATATGGCAACAGTGTAACATTAAAAATATAAACACAGAAGAATCAAAAAGCAATGATACTCTAAAGAACACTGTATATCAACTCAGTGTGCACTTAATATAACATTAGAAACATACACTAACTATTCTGAGTCCACATACAATTATTTTCTGGAGAAGGGATGAGAGAAGTAAAGAACCATTCTTCTGCATTTCTATATGTAGCAAAGGGTCTAAGAGCATCTCAACTTGATGGAGACGGGACTTCATGCTTTGAGTAAGCCTTTGATGTTAAAAAACACAATCACCATCACTGGAGCAGCAGACAAACAAAATGAAAATGTTTAATATTTTCATGTAGGATAAAATAAAATCAACAAGCCATCACTGTTATCTCCAGCTGCAAATGAATAGCCAACATACTGTGAAACCAGAAAGAAACATGAAAGATGAAGCCTCAACCAATGCCCTTCAGTCTGCACCAACTTGTGGCTAGTGAGGGACAGATCATCTACTGAACACTAGCTCCAAATCAGACACTGGCACATAAGGTACATTCAGTCATGGCTTCTTTGGCACACATAGCCCAAATCGCACTAGGTCAAGGGCTGAAACCAAAGTCAATGCAAGGCCCCATAAGCACTATAAAAACCATAAAATTCCTTGCTTGAAATACGTCAATAAAAATGTTTTTCGACTTTGAACCTCTTAAAAAAACAGATCAGTTGGTAAGGAAGGTCATATTAAGGCTCCTCCCTTTTCATCCACCAATTAGATGAAAAGCTCTGAAATGCTTAAAGCATCATCTCCGATACTGATGTAACTTCACCATGGAAGCAGTTTTGCACTGCTGAAGAGCTAATGGTAAGGTAAACTTGGTAGGTGCATCATACCCTGGGCAATACCACCTGTATTAGTATGCTATCATACAGCTGCATCCCCACTTCTTTGGATATTTTGCAGTCATTGTGCTACAGCAGTCATTCACAACTGGATTTTCCTGTGCAGATGGAACAACCCAGTTGCCAATCATTTCCTGTGCACTGTGCAACCACAATGAAATAGCCCTTGCTGTGCAAACACAGCCTGAGAATGCTTTTGGATGCTTTGTCCAAGGACACACAGAAACCATGACATGTGGCTATTTATACCAGAGGAAATATCCATAACTCTCACCATGTGTTCATACACAACAGGTTAAGCACACCTTGAACTCCCCCACACACACATTTTTACCTCATCTCCCATTTTTGCCTCACCATAATAGCAGACCACTAGAATCCAAAGACCTACTTTAGGACACAATGAAAGACTTTGCAATGCCTATTGGGACTTTGAAGTGTATCCCCACCCCCAATCAATACCTCAAGCTGCTTTAGAAAAAAAACACTTCATTTTAAAATTTATTTATTTTGAATATTTCTATGCCACCTCTTCAGAATCCTGCTTGAGGTGGCTGACAATTAAAAACCACAGTATTAAAACACAAGACATTTTGCCATGCAGATAAGGGGAGGAAGGGAACACAAATTCCCTTTCATGCACAGAACTAGCTGCACAGTTCCCTGAATCCTGGGCCCCAGAATATCTGAATCACCACAAACATAAAAATAAATAAGCGGGCAAACTAAAAACATCCAAGCCAGAGGAATATACTACTGCTGATGTCAAAGAGCCCCCAAACCTGCAATAATACCCTCCTTCATTTCACAGCCACCATTACTTAGCATCCCTTTACCTTGTTCGGAGGGCCTGCCAAGCCGCATCGATGTCTGCATAAAGGTTCTTTTCGGATGGTTTACCAGTGCTCACTCCATAACCAGAGTAGTCATAGGAGAAAACATTGCAGTTGATACGAGAGCCCAGGCCAATGTAGAAGCTACACATCTGGCCCAGATCCACAGCGTTGCCATGGGAGAAAAGCAGTGTATACCGGCTGGAAGGAGCACAACGCACAAACATGCATCCCAATCTGTTATCTCGGGCTGTACGTGAGAAGAAGACCTCCACAGCATCCAGCTCCCTTTGGGAATACTGCCAGTCTGCCCGCTCAGTCAAGTGGAGGCTGCAACTCCCCGTTGGTGTCCCGGCAGCAGTTCCAGCTTCTTGCTGTTCTGGTTGCATCACAGTGTACGTGGGCTCTGGGGGCAGAAAAGCCAGCTTGGCAGCTATGCGGCTGGGGCATGGCGGGCAGCAAAAGAGCCAGCATAGCTCACCCAGGGAAAAACCGTTCATTCTGGGACCTTGTTCTGGCATCAGTGACGCTTGATGGGAAACCACACCAAAGAGAGATGGGGAGCCAGACAGATTTCACAGCTGATGTCAGATCAGTTCTGTCACTCACCTGAAGCTACACCAACCTACTGCAGCCTGTTTCCCATCAACTGACAAAATGAACCGAAGGAGCCTGTTACCTAGAAGAAACCCAAGATGCCTCCTGGACCTACACCTGTTGCTTTTTCTCAAAAAAGACCTGCTGCCACACAAGCAAGGCCAGTTCCGGCCAGTTGCCTGTTTCTGCTCAAGTTTTAAACTCCCTCCCTCCTTTCTTTCAATTTCAAAGTTGTCACCTAGCCTGGATGTGAAAACCCCCACATGATCCTAGAACAGTATCACCTACCCTAGAAGGAAAAAAGCAACTTCCCCCTAGCTTATGCTATACAGGACCAGTTTAATTTAGATAAATCCCCCTTCCTTTTACCCTCAAGCCCTGTCTCTCTCCAAACACACCATGCCCCTTTGGTTTTATCTGGAGGCAATCCTAAACAGACCCAACCTCCCAACAAAACCTCCTTTCGTTCTCCGGTTCCTAGAAACTACGCAGCTTTGCCCTAAAGGTCTTAACTCCCCAGCTGTCAAAGCCCCGCTTGCCCCCTCCCCCCCACCCTCCCGTTAAGAAGACTGAAATCTGCCCGACCGCCTGTTGTCTCTCCCACATCCACCAGGCACCTAACCTGGGCCAAAGAGAAAGAAAAGCCCTCGGAGGCAGTGCTGGGCTTCTACTCTAGAGCCAGGGGGCCCGGAGGAAAGAGGAGCACCGGCAAAGCCCTTCCTTTCCTGCTCGAAGCGAGGGAAAGGCCGCAGCCCACGAGAGACGAGCAGAGGCCAGTCGCTGTGTGAAGACGAGGGTATCCCTTAGCTGCGGCTGGTCCCCGAGGCGGACAGATCCATGGCGGGGCGGAGGGAACATGAGGGAGGTTAAGACGGGCTCACAGTAACCAGGCGGCAGCCATCGCGCCTCAGGTATCGCGCCTCCGTCTCCCGCCCCCTCAGAGAAGCTCCACTTCCGGGTTAAAGTCCACCCCTTTCCTCGTGGAGAAGAGGAAGCAGAGAGGGTGGAAGCCGACGAGAAGACACGCATGCGCCGTCCGACTTGCTCGAAGTTCCGGCGCTCTTTCGCCTCCTGGATTGGCGCAGGTGTAACGGCATCTCAGTCAGCGCGGTGGAACCCGGGAGAATTCCGCTCCCTGAGGAACCGACCAATCGCTCTCCTCTTTTTCTCTGACGTTGCGCAGGTGTTAGGCGAGAGCCAGCCGAGTCTCTCCCGTTCATGCGGACTGTTCGTACTAGAGGAAATTTTTGACCCCTCCACCAACTTGTCTAGGTAACAAGAAACAAGCATTAAAAAATAATAATAATAAAAGTAATCATATTAAAATGAGCAGGCACGGGATTATCCTTTCTCGTCTTCAAAAATGTTTGGCACTTCAGCCCGAGTGCCTCTGGGAATGTGCAGTTTCTTTTATTTAAAAAATCAAAAGAAGATACCGGTGACAATGTACCTCTCAGTACTGATTGTTTTCCCTTTCATGCCGGCCACATGACCACAGAAACGTCTTCGGACAGCGCTGGCTCTTTGGCTTGGAAACGGACGGAGAAAGCTACAAAGAGCACATATTTCCCGAAGGACTACTTCGAACAAGTGGTCCATAGGACAGATCTCAATTTCTAATGCCCCTACTATTTCAGCGGTGATCATGGATACTAACTAGGAATGGTCCTAACCTTCCAACCCCAAAAGAGGACATTTTCATCAGTTTTTTTCAAAATGAGCCCCCCAAAAAGAGGACATGTTCTCTAAAAAGAGGGCATCTGGTAACCAGTGTTCCCTCTAAGCTGAGTTAGTGTGAGCTGGCTCACAGTTTCATAGCCTCAGCTCACACATTTTTGTCTTCGCTCAGGAAGGAGGGCTCCAGAGCAAACTGGAGCTCACAAAGTAGAATTTTTGCTCACAAGACTCCACAGCTTAAAGCAGGGGTGTCGAACTCATTTGTTATGAGGGCTGGATCTGACATAAATGAGACTTTGTTGGGCCGGGCCATGTGTATCATAAAATGTAATGTCAGGTAGCAGAGCTATAAACTTTATAAAGGACACAAACCCAAAGGATTTTTTTTTAGTTAAAATAAAAACACTTAAAACATCAGCACCCTTGCAATATTTTGTTTATTTAACAGTGTCTGATAACTGACACCTCTTCCTCCTTGCTGTTGCAATCCTGAGTGTGCTGTTCAGGTGTGTCTCTGTAAGCTGCAAATCTACGATGACGCAGCAGCAGCAGAACTGGAAGAAGAAGCAGA